CCGTTTCCTCGGTATGGTTCGAACTCGCAACAGACCGTTGTACTTGCCGCCGCCTCTGCTCAACAGCCACACCATGGTCTTAATGAGAAAAAAACGAATTAAAATAGCAGCACAAAAAACAATACAATCGCAATAGCAATGCTGATAGAATTCAAAGCAGACGCGCATGATTGTGTGTGTGCATGTATACAGAACTTCTTGGAATTTGCGCTTGCTGCCGCTGATACAAGGAAAGTCAAAACACATTTTCTTTAATAATTTCTGTTTTTCTTAACCGATCTTGATGAAATTTTCTACAGTACACCTTATTGTGTAATAGAATATTTGTGTATTCTCAAAAAGTCAATTATATACTTTATGGAATCGTAGATGCTTCCTTCTGCCTGTTACATCCATTTGCACAAAAACATTATTTTACCCATTTTAAATGGGTTCAGGGTACACAAAAATAGGCGGACAGACAGCTCGACTTCTTATGCTGATTAAGAATATATAAACTACATATATGGGATCAGAGATGTCTTCTTATGAGAAAATGTAATACCCTCTACACGGGTATACAAATATTTGGAATCGGTTACATCAGCACAACTACTCGCTAAATGCTAGGGTTTAATATCATCGAATCACAATAAATATATATGTACATATATTAATATATGTACTTACAGCGGCTGTAAGCATTCCCATTTTTCGCTTCGTACGCATCAGCAATGCTATATTTTTTCTAACGTTTGAGGAAATTTTCGGATCATCGTCACTTTCACCATCGAGCCACTGGTTATTAGTAATGACTGCACGGACTACCTTTTTAAATAAAGCTTTAAGAATCACTCTTTTTTTTACCTCTTCTGCATCTCGCACACGTTTAGATATCATTTAAAAATATCTTTTAATTCAAACCAGATAAAAATTACGATTGACGTAAAAAGATTGCAGACAAACAAAAATAACAATAAAGATTTAAATATTGTGTCTGAAATATGTTTGTTGTTTTAAAAGCATTCTTTGTGAATTTGTCTGATCTCGATTTCCTAAACGTACCTTGAACCCAGTAAATTAGAAAAAAATCATGCTTTAATAGTTTTATGCCAATGCATGTAACATACAGATGAAAACATATCCGATCCCATACAGTATATATATTCTGGATCAGGAAAATAACTATAAGCCCGTCAATCTCAGAAACTTAAAGAGCGGGATGCTTAAACTACTTAGCTGGGCAGCTGAAATTTTCACTGTAGTTACCGTATTGGAAAAAAATGTGTATGAAACTTTTTTGTTTACCATCCGATCGACCTCAAACTCGTTTTCAAAGATCTTTGTTTAAATTCATTTGAGGCGTGTTTCACACTTTTTGGAAAATACATTCCTTCTCGGTGGAAAGGGGAGTCAAAGATTTGGTAGCTGACGTTTCGCGCTCAAATTTATTTTCAAAGATCTTTGCGTAAGTTATTGGAGACGTGTTTCATACAAATCTTCCTCGCTTATTGGGCAAAGTTTTGTCCAATTTGCATTCAAGCTCTACATTTTTTACGAACTAATACATATATAATAATTAATATATACATATACATATAATAGCCCCGTCACAAGTAACAAGTATTCATAGTAACTGTTTACTGCTGTTACACCTTTCAAAACTAACAGCGACAAAAAATCATCCTATGTCATGCACGGATAGTAAAGCAAGGGTCTACTTTTTGGTCGTTGTTTATTCAAAAGATTGACACCGAAAATTTCACTAAGAGATTACCACGACGATAAAAGATTGACACCGAAAATTTCACTAAGAGGGTACTACGTCGATAACGACTGGATCAATGTTATAGATATGTTAGATATCTATTTATATGATATATATTAATACTAGCGGGTATAACCCGGCCTTGCCCGTGGCACGTATGTTATAAAATCTATGTTTTTAAAAAGCTTTGAAAATGATTTTGAAACTGATCGGACGGGAATCAAACAACTTTTATGCGAATCGGACAAAACTTAAAATTCACCAAAAATATCTTTCAAATGCCTTTTCCACCGAAGGAGTTTAGATTTTGCGAAAAATCTCAAATGATTTTTCTTATAGATGTTTGGAAATAAATTTGAACACAAAACGTCATCCACCAAATCTTCGACCCCCATTTGCACCAAGGAGGGATGGATTTTTCAAAAAGTGTGAAACACCCTTCAAATGAATTTGAACATAGATCTTTGAAAATGAGTTTGGGCCGATCGGATGGTAAACAAAAAACTTTCATACAACCGTTTTCCGCCAATTTACAACTGTTGCAGGTGGAATTTCCCAAATCGCTGAAATACGTATTCATTAAGTACTTATGTAGAGCTTTGAAAATAAGTTTGAAGCAAATCGGACATAACTTAAAACTTCGCACAACAAATCTTTGAGTCGCACTCCAACCGAAAAAGTTTGGATTCTGCGAAAAGTGTGAAACACGTCTCTAATGATTTTTCTTATAGATCTTTGGAAACAAATTTGAGCGCGAAGCGTCAGCTACCAAATTATTGACCTCCATTTACACCAAGGAAGAAAGGATTTTTCGAAAAGTGTGAAACACCCTCAAATGGATTTGAACATAGATCTTTGAAAATAAGTTTGAGGCCGATCGGATCATAAACAAAAAACTTTCATACAACCGTTTTCCGCCAATTTACCACTGTTGCAGGTGGAATTTCCCAAATCGCTGAAATACGTATTCATTAAGTACTTATGTAGAGCTTTGAAAATAAGTTTGAAGCAAATCGGAACACAACTTAAAACTTCGCCCAAAAAATCTTTAAATCGCATTCCCCCCGAAGAAGTTTGAATTCTGCGAAAAGTGTGAAAAACGTCTCAAATGACTTTTCTTATAGATCTCTGGAAATGAATTTGAGCACTAAACGTCACCCACCAAATCTTTGACCACCATTTCCACCCAGGGGGAATGGATTTTCCTAAAAGTGTGAAACACCCCTCAAATGAATTCGAACAAAGAGCTTTGAAAATAAGTTTGAGGCCGTTCGGATGGTAAACAAAAAAGTTACATACAAACGTTTTTCGCGATTTTTCCACACTTGCGGGTGAAATTTCCCGAAACCCCGTCTTAACGTGCACCTACATCACATAAGGTAACTACAGTGAAAATTTCAGCTTCCTAGCTCTTACGGTTTGAGCTGTGCGTTGATCACCAGTCAGTCAGTCAGGACAAACAGTTTTATAAATAGACATAATGTTAGATATACTTTTCTGCATTTTTTATACATTTCAAAAATTTGCAGTTTTTTTAATTTTAATTGTTGCTATCGTGTTGCTGCTTCCTTATTATTATACTTCTTGTATAGTTGAAGTCTTATTAACAGATTCTGTACTCAGGTTGTTCATTTCGTACTCTTCAAATAGCTAAGTACTGTGTCACTGGCCTGTACCAAAGACAATATAAACACTAAGATGAGTAACGCCCACATTTGCATGCAACGAAAAATTTCATGCCTGGTGTTTCATCTGGCGTTTGAGTTTTCGCACGACATGCCTGCCGACTGGCTATTTGTTCTCCAAAAGCCAGACGAACGAATGCCGAAGTCGCGGCTTGCTGATGCTGACCCGAGCAACGAAGTTAGTCGCCAGCCTGCGTTCAGCAAAGCTAGTCGAAGGTGCTTTGTGTCGCTTCGTTTTCGAAGTACATTGACCGAAAAGTTTTAAACTTACGATCGACGCAAAGTACTTCTGCTTTATCCATGAAATGCATGCTTTAATTAAATGATACATTACCCTAGAGACTAACAATAAATTTTGCACTTAAATTTAAGAATGAAATAATTTTTTTACAAGGCGCAACTTGTACAATAACAATGTTAAGAAAATATCACACATAGATTTATTTCACTTTTGTTTTTGAACAGTGTATGCTCGAGAGAAGTTCTTGTTCAGCCAATCGCGTGCAAGCACCTATGTTTGTATGTGTGAATTATGCATGCATACCTACATCAAAATATGTATATGTATATGTGTGTTATTCACTGCCTTGGCTTTGGCTGGTGAAGAAATAAATTTTGTTTTCTAGAGCTGATCATGCACGACCTATTCCAAATTTGTATTCACATATGAATACATGTTGTGTAGTGAGGTTGGCTCCGTAGAAAATCTGTTTTTAAAGTCGTCGCAAATATTTATATAATTCTTCGATCTTCGTCGTCGAAGAAAATGTACGAAAGGGTGCGATTTTCATTATGCCGCTTTGACGGGCTTAATATGGAGTTATGCACCCAGAGGGGCTTTGGATTTTGCCGCAGGTCTTTTTCAATTCTGCTCAATTGCTCACTTTACCATTACCTCTTATAGGAAGTTTCTGCAATTACTAACTGTTACGCTGCTACATACGAACTTTTAAAAACGCCGTTATGAAGTCCATTCCACTCCTGTATATTTCCTGTCATAAAGTCATAAGTAATTTTTTGTTTTGTAACATAAGTGCCGCATACAATAAATAGTGATTATATTAAATCCGTTAATATTTAAGTCAAGCGGAAATTAAAAACGAACTTAATCGGTTATGTGAATTTAACGATATTTAAATAAATTTGTAATCGATAGGCAAAAACTATCATATCATCTTACAACAGTTAGGACAATTAACTCATTTGGAACTGTTAGAACAGTTTTATTTTAAATTTGTTATGTCTTTAGGCAATATGTTATCTTTCTGCCACCATAGACCCGAACAATGGGACATTCGTATATATGGGATCCAAACTAAACATTTACCGCTTGTGCAAAACTACATAAGTTGAACAAAAAACTAATTGGCCCCCCTTATTGCAACAGGCGGTTAGGCTAAAAACATATACACATACAGTACGACCTCGCTCAATGCAACCTATTAAAATATGACCAATTGCGAAAACTGAGGTGGTTGCAAAAACCGAGGGAACATTATCTGTTGGCCACGAGACCTATTTAAAAAAAGATATGCCTTTGCTAACCATTAAAATTAAAGTAAATCGAATTGTTCTGTGTTCAAAGCAAGGATTTCATTTTACTTTATTTATTTTTTGAAAAATTGAGAAATTGTGGTCTGTACTTTTTTACATTTTATACTTTTCTGAACAGCTGTTTCTACAATGTTAAGAAATCGGGTGTTGCAATTATCGAGGTGTTGCGCGTAACGAGGGTTGCGTTGAGCGAGGTCGTACTGTATATACATATACGAGAGTATATATCCATTAATATAAAACAATATAGCTACATATATATTTAAAAAAAATATAATCGAGCTGGTATTAATATTGAATGCACACACGTAAATTAATATACATACATAGGTATGTGTTGCCGTGATTAAAATAATACTTATACATTTTTGACATACTTAGCTTGAACATAAATAAATAAAATAGTAGGAACAGCCCAGTATCTAAAAATAGTATGTGCCGCCTAGTTAGTACATCCAATTTGGTAGCCATATGTAAGCACTTCGTTCCCCTCTGTTCAGCATAGTAAATCCGCTAGATGGCGATATTTTATACTGCGGCTGTAGCCCTGCAACTCAAAACTATTTATGCCTATCGATTTCTCTCTCTTCCACTTGAAAATGTTAAGAAGAAGAACAACAGCTGATTAATATAATACGGGTTTCGTTGTGAATATATTTTTTAAATAATATTTAATACATTTTTTTTAATAATTTAAACTTTTTGAATATAAACTTTATTATTGTACAGTGAAATGGATTCACCATCAATTTCCGTAACCCCGAGGAATAAAGGATATAAAGTAAATTACATTTTTGATGAAACATTTCTTTGCAAATCCAATTCAAACTTTCACCATTTCAGTTATCAGAGAAACCGACAAAGTCGTCAGCACTCACTTTGGGCACAATACCATTACGAGCAGTTATGTTATTCTTGGCTGCAACTGTGTTTACCGCAGTACTTCTTGAGCTTCTGCCACATTATACTAAAATAAAACCTGAGAGTGACTCATTAAATGGTACAGAAAATGCCTTGATTCGTCAACGGGCCTATTCAATTTATACTACTAGCACTACAGAGGAACACTTGGTGCACGTAGTGGACATTTTGCACAGATTTGGTTATAAAAGAGTTGAGTTAGAAGATAAATGGGATTTATTGTGGGCCCATGACTATCCGTTTCGCGTTATTCCAAAACTAAAGAATCTAGAAGCGCATCAATTTGTTAACCATTTACCTGGTTGTGGTTACTTAACAAATAAAGTTGATTTGTGTACGACGCGACTACCTTTTTTGCCGCGTGCTTTTCGCCTCCCAGATCAGAGAAATGACTTTTTGGAATACGCGTCAGCGCATCCGAAGGCACTCTTTGTACAGAAGCACAACGAGCATCGTCACATTAAAGTTCGGCCTTTAAATGATATCGATTTCCACTCCAATGATTCGTTTGTCCAGGAGTTCATTCAGAATCCATTTTTGGTCGATGGTCATAAATTTGATATCGGAGTATATGTTGTGATCACTTCCGTAAATCCGTTGCGTGCTTACATATACAACGGTGATGTATTGTTTCGGTATTGCCCCGCCAAATATTATCCCTTCGATGTCGAAATTCAGGACAAATATGTTGTTGCTGACAATTATTTACCCACCTGGGAGGTTCCGTCTTTACGCAAGTATTATAACAACTATGGGGGAAGCATGCGTGCTTCTTTTGAAGCGTATGTACGCGATCAAAACATGGATCCCTCAAAAATATGGTCACAAGTGGAACACATTATACGTACCACTATTCTGACGAAAGAACAAGATTTAATAGATACACTACGTATGTACAAAAGGCATAATTTCTTCGATTTGTTGCGTTTCGACCTTTTTATTGATGAGGAACTAAATGTACACCTAATGGAGGCCAACATGTCACCGAATCTTTCTTCCGCTCACTTCAAAGAAAACTCACTTTTGTACAAACAAGTGCTTTACAGTGTGTTCAACCTGGTAGGCATTCGTCCAGTGATTAAATCAGGAATCAGTCATTCTTCGTATGTTATGAATTCCATTAAATAATTTGTATTTGGTTTTAATTTAGATCTTTTAGACTTTCAGAAGTAATAACTGCTGATAAAAACTTGGCGACTGCGCTAAATAATTGTGCATCTAACGATTGCGACAAGTCATGTAATAAAGAAGAATGCAGCCTATGCCTGCCTTGTTTAAGTGGAACAGAATATAAATGGCTACAAGAAGCTCACGATGAGCACTTGCATCGTGTTGATATGAAGCGCATCTTTCCTAAACCAATAGTAAATTCATTTCGAAAGCCCTTTTGAATATATTATACATTTATATTTGAATATATACTAACATGTTTTGTTTTCAGCATAATATTCACACATTTGATATTGATATTGAAACTACACAAATGTCAAAGAGAAACGCATGGATAACACGTTGGTTTTTCAATAAATGTAAATATGACCGAACATGGTGCACCTGACAGCACCAAAATAGTTGGAAAGAAATATGGAAATATATGTACATATGACAATGATAATATTATTTATACAGTTTCCTATTATTAGAAATTTATAACTTATTAATATATACCCGCATGTGTTGAAAATCGCGAAAAACGTTTGTATTGCCTCAAACTCATTTTCAAAGATCTTTGTTCATATTCATTTGAGGGGTGTTTCAAAGTTTTCGTGGGTGACGTTTCGCGCTCAAATTCATTTCCAAGAATCTATATGAAAAATCATTTGAGACGTGTTTCACATTTGTCGCAAAATCAAAGTATCCTCGGTAAAAAGTGCGATTCTAGGATTTTTTTGGTGAAGTTATAAGTTTTGTCCGATTTTCTTCAAACTTAATTTCAAATGTGTACATAAGAACTTAATTCCACTCAAATCAAAAACCCTTTGTATGAAAGTTTGTTGCTTACAATCTTCAAAAACAAATTTCAAAATTCTTTGCCAAAATTCATTTAAATTCATCTTTTTGGAAAATGCATTCCTCCTTGGTGGAAATGGGGGTCAAAGATATGGTGGGGGACGTTTCGCGCTCAAATTCATTTCCAAGGATCTATATGAAAAATCATTTGAGACGTGTTTCACAATTTTCGCAGAATCCAAACTTTCTCGGTAAAAATGCTATTCAAAGATTTTTGGGCGAAGTTTTAGGTTTTGTCCTTTTTTTTTGTCGAATAAACTCAACTTAACTTTTTGGATTATTAACGGTTTCAAAATCACTTTCAAAGATCTTTATCAGAACTTATTTAACACGCCTTCGAAAACTTCACCGCTATTGGATGGAAAAGATTCTTACCACAAGAGTAACAAGGACGGAAACCCCTGATCTTTGGTTCTTTATTCGATGCACTTTAAGCATATTTAATAATAGAAATGGAGATTAAGATGGTACGGGTAGATTTCAATTTGTTGGGTTGGCAGAAAATGAGTTATCAAATTATTATACCCTTGTAGAGGGTATATTCATTGTGCAACGTATAGAAGGAGACATCTGCGATCATATAAAGTATATATATTGTAGATCAACAGCGAGTTGGTATAGCCATGTCAGTCTGTCGGTTTCTATGCGAATTTATCTCTCAGTTTTAGGGATATAGTCTTGAAACTCTGCATAGGACCGTCTCTGTGGCAGGTAGTTCATATGTCGGAACTTGGCATTTATCCTTACCTTTTATGTTTACTTAAATTATTCCTCAGCCAGTGGGCGATGAAAAGAAATGATTTTGGTTAATGGAGCGCGATTTCGGAACCAGCACGTAGAATATATGATGGAAGCTCGGCGCGAAGTTCAGGGAATCTCCTCGTCGGGCACTCCCCACTAAAGCACTATACTTGTTTCTATCTTCAAATATAAAAGAGTTTTTCCTTACTACCTAAATAAATGTCTAATTGACGACCATCACAGCAGAAATTTTATCTAAAGCTTCCTTTTGGGTCGAAAGCGAGCACAAAGTCGCTGTTTTTCGTATATTCCACCCACAAGTGGCCTTACAACGGCAGTCAAAGTTTATATGAAAAAAAAGAAATGTGCTTTGCAAAAGTGAGCTTGTTTGGATTTCGATTCGGTATACTGGTAATGTGAAGAGGCGAATCCAGCGACTTCTAGGCGTAGTTCAAGCAGACAAATAAATATATTAATGATATTGAGCAGAAATTTGATAATATACCTATTAAATAAAATTCTATTATTATTATCGTAAGCGCTAAAAATTAAAAATATTGTTGTGAGATTCATTCCCATTCTTCCTTAAGTTTATCTATTACCATCGGATCCCTACTACTGTCATATTATCTTATTTTGCGATAAAGAAGCTCCATATAATATGTCAATAACGTTCTGGACTCTAAGGGATGTTAAGCTGTCTTGTACCACCGTACAGCAGCTTTTCATGTCTACAGCTCTTCACAATTTATGCGATGTGCCTAGGATCGTTATCTTATTGGAAATTAAAAGTACCACCGAGATCCAACTGTTCGGCCTATATCCTAATATATTTGTATTTTGATGACCATAATTTTGGTCCATAACACTCTCAATTAATAATAAATATCCTACACCTGAAAACCAATACATTTCTACAACCATGTTTGACTGCAGAAATAAAGTTGCCCTCCTTTCCAAATATATTTTACGTAGACTTATCTGTGAACAGAAGTTGCCTCCAAAAATCAAGTCTCTAGTCCAAATGCTTTTGGATGAATTCTAAGCAAAGTTTGTGATTTTGTTTGCCTTAAGGGGTTTTCGACCTTTAGTGTGTCTTTTGTGGTCTGCTGTGAAACCATTATTGTTTTATATTCTTTTAACTGTTGGCGGATACACTGTAGGAGAACTCTTTGCAATCTAGTTTTTTCTTGTATGAAACTGTTTTGTTTCCCATTCGATCGGCCTCAAACTAATTTTCAAAGAGCTTTGATCAAATTCATTTGAGGGGTGTTTCAAACATTTGGAAAAATTCATTCCTCCTTGGTGGAAATGGGAGTCAAAGATTTGATGGGTGACGTTTCGTGATCAAATTCATATCCAAGGATCTATATGAAAAATCATTTGTTTCACAATTTTTGCAAAATCAAAGCTTCCTCTGTGGAAAGTGCGATTCTAAAAAATGAAAGCATAATTAAAAAGGTATTCTGCTGATCACCGGCAGAAAAGTAGAATACGAATTTTGTACCTTACATTAGATTTATTCATTATTATGTGAAGAGACCTATGTAAACAGAATAGCGACGAGGAATTTTTGAAACTAAATAAAGAACTGCTAGGAAAACTAAATTGATTCAAAGGAGGTGATTAAAATAATGAACACAGCTGTGCTCTGAGCCCTTACCCACAGGTTGCAGAAATGGAAAGACGTTTTGAAGAAAAAATAGACAGAATGATTATCAGTCTTTCGATAACATTTACTTGTACCCAATAGATGACTCTGCCAATTTAGAATTGAAACAAATTCTAGAATGTGATAATTTCCGACCATCTAAATCGACATAAAAAATCATCATGCGTTGTGGATAAAACCAAAAAACCATGAGCCTATAATTTCGACAATACTGTAGAGGTTAGGCCCAAATTAATACAGTTTGGAACTAAGATCAGAGAAACTCGCGGGGAGAGATAGAGGAAAATCGGATTTCTTCTGAAGCTATTGTAAGAATTCCCCCATGCCCCATGTATATGTGAAAGGGCAATAATAGATGAAATCAAAAATAACAAATTGTTAAAGAAAGCGGCTTTTTAAGCAAATTGACTGACAGCTCTACGTTGCTGTATGAGGGTATATTACAAAAAATCCAAGTTGTTTAAAAAAACAAGATCACAGAGTGTTTCGAATTTGTTGTTTCCAAAGGGTGCATACAATTTTTCCCAAAAAGGTACAGGGAACACCCAACTTTAAGCTGACCGCATATCTCGCCTTTATTTGTTTTCCGAGCTTTCTTATTTGCAGTTGCAGAACAACCCTATTAATCCCCCAAAACTGCAATAACAGTTGTCAAGGATTTAAGGGAAAGATAGTTTGACTCCCTCTAATGTGGAGAAATGGGTATATAGGTATAAAAGCAGTGCTAGTGAAAGTATCAAAGTAGCAGTAAAGCGCCGAGCAAGTATATTTTTGAAAGCAGCAGCGTAACATCCCAAAACTGTTTCCCGAGCAACAAAGAGTCGATCAAAATATATCTAAAATTACACTAACAAATTTGCTAAGAACAACTGCAGCGACCCTATGCCCAAATAAAGCTCCAGTTTAAGGTATAGAAAGCAGCGCACAGCAACAACGCAGATTAGTTTTTCCCTGTGCCCGCGCGCTAACTTGCAGTTTTCTACATTGCGTCGCACCCGTGTCCATTTCGTTAGCGCATGCTCGACTGGCAGCTCTTCTGAAATGTTGATCAGATTAAGAGCATTATTTTAGTATTTTCAAGAGCCCAAAAGAAAAAAAGTAAAAATTAAAGTTATTGTATTTCTGCGCTTAAAAGGAAAACTATAAAACCGAAGACATGAAAGAGAATCTACTCGGGAGTTACCGACTAGGGAAACTGAACCCCCTTCTAGCAACACCAAATGTAGCTCGAGCTACGAGCTCGTAATCAGTAATACAAATAAATAAATAAATAACAAATAAATAAAGCAGCAAATAGAATTACTTGCCACCGCCTCTACTCGACATCCATACCATTAATTTTCTTCTCGCCAAAAAAAAAATTTCAGCAAATACACACAGCACACAAAACCATACAATCGCAATTTCAGTGATGTTTATATACATATGTACATATATTCAATAAACCCGAGCTTGAATGGGAAACTGTACCTGTATACAGAAATCTTTGTAATGTGCACTAGCTGTCGCGAAAACGTGTCAACATAAGCACACGTTTTCTTTAATAACTTCTGTGTTTCTTAATATGTACGATAGAATATTCCTATAATCTTAAAAGGACAACAGCATTAATATTGTGGTAAATAAGTGGATATTTCCAATTGATTTTTTTATTTGATTTATAACAAAGGGGTGTAGGCGGGGCTATAACATGAACGATAATTGTATATTTATACGATATTAGGATATTTAAGAAGCTACAAGTCAAATTTGATGACTACAGCTCTTAAAACTTAAGAGATTTGCTGAAAAAACAGCATTTCGTCATAGTTTTCCTGGAAACGTGGCAAGCAGATTGTTGCTGAGTTCAGGGTACACAAATGTGGAAAACTTCAAAAATTTCAGCCTTAACGCAGTTAAGCTACACTCGGAAAATGACATTGTTAATAAAATATTGTCCAGAAAACATTCTTGTTTACCTAATATGCTCAATTTCATATTGGAAGAGTTGGATCGACAGATTTGAGAACACGGGTTAATTGTTTAGTTGTAGACGAATACGTTGTTTATACCCAAATACTTGCCGGTCCGAAGCGATAGATATAATGCTCTAACAGTTAATTAAGTAGCTGAATTTATCGCTGACACCGTTCGACATTTCGAATCTGCATATCGTTCATGGGAAAAAAGCTAGTGGGCAACTTGACTCGGCAAGACT